CTTCTGATGTGAATTGAAAGGGCTACTTCCAGTGTGAGATAGGAGACACTGATGTGAATGGAGGGGGTTCCTAATGTAGAGGGGGGCTCCTGATGTAAAGGGGGACTCTAATGTGAAAAGCTGGATTCTGATGTGAAAAGGGGGGAGAGGGGGCTCCTGATTTAAAGGGGGGATCCTGTTGTGAAGGGGGAAACCTACATTTTTTTTATTTTTACATGCCCCCTCCCCGAAATCCATACCACACCCCTCTGTGGGAAAAGGGACTGGTACCGATTTTGAAGGGGTTGCACAATTTTTTTTACTTTTATGTGATTTACCTTTTAGACTGGGGTGGCTAAAGATTTTGCATAATGCCATGACTGAAAAAGTTTGAGAAATGCTGGTCTAGATCACAACACACTCCTCCAAGAGTGAACAGAATTACAGGTAAAACAGTTCCCATTTATGTGTTGCAATTGTGTATTTAGCTGTGCGAGTGAAGATCACATTTATCAAATGTAAAGCATTTTAGTAGGTGAGCATGTTAAAATGCTGGGAGGCAAATCCCGATCCCTGCTATGAGTATGTTAGAGAAATGCCACATGACAGATTTTTATATCAATGATACAACAACGTGTGTGGCATCATCATGCTATGTAGGATCAAAGTGCTACCCAAAAATAAAGATATTAAAGTCATTATGCCAGACATACAAAGGCCACAATTATTGACCTGCTTCTAAAAATGGTAGGTACCTGGTTCTTATGCTGACACTTCAAATTCTGAGTTACTGACCTGGAACAAGTATGCAGATTGAATTATATGTTACATCTGTGATTTCTTGAGCAGAGGAATGAGTGAGAGAGTGAGACGAACTCTTTCCAGAGGATATAGATTCCTTAATGTCTATTCAGCATAAAGCAGCATACAGGAAAGGCAAATCATGTTTCAAGGGAACTATTTCCCAGTGGTCGGATGAAACACAGTAAATCTCGCCATTGCTCTTCTGTAATTCCTAGTACCCTATTTGAAGTGTTTGTGCAAGTTACTGTTTTGGGGAGCTACCATTTTGTTATAGATAGCTGTTTTCTGCCATATTCTTAAAATGAATGCTCTATTAAATGTTATCTTGTTTTATTGCCATTTACAGTATAAACACACAAGGGTCTATTACCTTTTCATTGTTTTGGCGGGAAAATTGTAGCGTCTCTTCCAGCCAAGCAAACTGATCGGCTGGGTCAGTAATGTTAAATGTCTCTTTATTGGGAGAGTAATACAGATTTGTGTTTAAACTGATGATTCTTAGAGGAATACCAGAGGCATTTGTCTTGTAGATCTGAGAATAGTACCCTCCTGTTGATGAGAAAGAAGAGAATGAGGACAATGAAACGGATATTATCTCCACATAGCATTTAGAAACCTCAAAAAATAAGGGCAAATGGGCCTTTTTCAATGTCAGCCAATGAACAAGGTACGGTCACTATACATGGAACCTTTATAGGTGCTTAGTTGATATCACTGGCCTATATAAATTATATGAATGGACATACAAGCACCGTGACTACAAGGTTAATGTAACTGCTAAACCATCATTGCTGGTCCTTTTATAGTTTTTCCTTTATTTAATGGGAAACATAACAAACCCCATAGAAGAGCACATCTTATTGCCCCCAAAGAATGGTGTTTGAGTGCATTTTCACTGGTGCTCATGCTTCAACGTTTGGCAAGTTTTGTCTGTCTGCTTTGTGCTTTTTAATGAACATTGTGTAGCCGCTTCCAACGTGAGTGGAGTGGCTCTTTAAATTTAGTGCTGCTAGCACTGTAATCAGTCTGGCTGATTTGTAGTCTGGTATCATTTAGTTGTTCTAGGTGTTCTAATATAGATTGCACCTGCCTGTAGTGGGGTGTGACCCTGCAACAGATTAAAGCAGCCAATGGGAGAACATTAGGAGTGTTTATACCTCACCAGCCAAGCACTGGGAGTTTCATGACCAGTGGTGCTTCCTGGGAAAGTGCATACATTTTCAGAAATTGCCATGTGCTCTGGGCAGTCAGCCCCTGGGCCTAGCCTGGGGGTGGTATGTACAAGATTGGAGATGCTGACTAGGCCTCAAGCCTGGGGGAGGCCACATGTGGACCCAGGTAGGCTCTGGAACTATCTGGGAAGGAGAACCAGAGGAACCCTATGACTGCCGGAGGTGCCAGGAAGGCCAAGATGGCATGGACCTCAGAAACAAGTCTGGTTTTTCTCCCAGGGAAGATCTCATGCATATCTCCTATTCAGCTGTTGCTCTTCTACACAGTGTCATCCTCTGTGCAACTAAAGTATTCCTGCACTGTAGAAGCTGGAAGGGATTGGTGAGTCGGGAGTCTATTTTTTACAATGGATGTCTGTAGACCTAAACCCTCTCTTCCAGTTTTTGCTGTTCTATATTGAAGCATCTAAAAAGCATTAAAGTGAATGGCGCCAATTTTACTGATTACATCCCACAGCCCCACTAGGGATCCATCTTCGAGTGAAATGTTAGCCCTCCCTGCCTTTGGATGTCCACCACAGGCCTCTGGGGCTCAGGGAAGGGGAGTGGGGGGCAACAGTTGCAATAAAGAAAAAGTCTTCTTTCACGATGTAGTAAAAGCACAAGATAATAAGCTTGATCATGTACAGTACTTACATTTATTCTTATGGATACCTGTAATACATATTTTTGCACATATTTTTGCATATCATCCGCATGTGGACAAGGGGACCCTGGAAAAGCAGCCTCCCAATACTGGGGGCATGTGGCCTGGTCTCCCAGGCCACTGCTCGGATTAGGGGTCTGGTTTGACATTTTAGGGGGACCCCACTTTTTTCTGTTTTTTGGGCATTGAGGTCCCCCTTAAAATTCCCACCAGCCCTAAAGTGCCTGGTATGAGTTGGGAGGGGTACCCCACGCTGTTCAGACCGTTCTCCCCACTTCGGCTGCCTTCAGTTTCTCTACGGGCTATTGTGCGTACAGCAGCCACTCGGTTTGGCTAAACCAAATGCTTCCTGCAGTCGAAGTGAGCCGAAAGTTTAGCCAAGCATTCGGCTACATCCTTCGGCCCTCTAGTGAATGACGCCCAAGTGTTCCTTTTATTACTGAGAACTTAAGCTCCTGGCTATAGAGCAGTAACAGCAGCAGTAAATCCCTCAGGCATACACCACACTTCAGACAAGGTCCTAGATACTCTAAAGCTTTCTGGTTACCTCCATTCTAAAGTCCTCCTTGGTGTTCCTTCCTCAGTATAATAAAACTCTGCCTAGGAAAACCACATCCCACAGGTAGCGGGTGCTTAGGCTCAAACTCTGGCTTGATCAGCTAAGCACATGGTTACCCTCCCAAGGCATCAGTCCTAGGTGGACCCGATATCCATCAGACCTCCTCCCTAGGCTGGATGCCTGGGGCAAAGAGAGCCTCCAGCAGGTTCTCCCAAAAATGTAAACCATCTCCCAACATGCACCACTGGCAATACATTTCCTTATGGCCAGGGAGATATACATATTCATGATTATTGAACCTTCTTGATCTATTGCCATGGACACACCCCAGCAACAGACAAAAGCACAAACGCTAACACTGAGCTTAGGGGCAACCTGTAGAAAACAGAACTATACATTTAGGTGTATAGTTATAGATTAGACCAGGGGTGCCCACAAGGTCGATCGCGATCTACCAGTCGATCGCGTAGCGATCACTGGTAGATCGCCATGTCCTCTCCTCCCGCCACTTCTCTGGATCCCCGCTGCTCTCCCCAGCGGGGGTCCGAGAAGACGTGAATAATGGATTAGACTGATTACAGCCCAGCAAAACTAAATTTAAAAAGGCACTCCTCCTTAGGGCAGGGTGGCTACATAAACATTCTAGGGGAGGGGGTCAGTGCCTAGGCGAGCAGGGTTAGCCATGGCAGCAACAAGCTTGTACATTGTGTTAGCATTTTTCTTTTTTCTTTGCCTCTTCTGTCCACTTTTGGACATTTGTGAGTCAAAATGCCCCTCATAATTCAGGAACTGTAAAGCTATATTTGCTTTTTCTTGTCTGGGGGTCTGTAAATTTAAAATATATAATTGGATATAAAGCAGACAGCATGCAGCCTCTAGTAGCATAATGTATAATTAGTTTTTACTTTAAAGAAAATCACGTGAAACAAGAAACAGAGAATAATATAATTGTGAAGGCCTGCCTGGTACAACATGATGCCTAAATATGGCCCTGGTCTACATTCAGTATTTTGCTTGTACTTCACTATGGCCTATTCTTTATAGATTCCGTATATATAAGTGAGAATCTGTATCTGTACATTTATTTTTACTTGCAACACATGCCCTTTGTGTCGAAGTCAAAACATTAATAAAATTAAGGAAACCAGTATGAGTCAGAGTAACAAATTGTGTAAAATGGGGAATTTTGCGACTTGTATTCTTGTTTCCTCCTTTGGCAAAGTTATGTATTACAGACTCACGATTTGAAACCATCAAATGACCACAAGTAATGTCCTTTTACCTTTCCGGAATGTGGTGAGAGTTTCATCAGACAGCCAGGGTTTCCAGAACTCTGCAACTGCTGTGTAAATTTCACTGCCTGATACAGGCAGCTGATCCTAATAACAAAGGGAAAACACAAGAAAACTCTCATATTTAAATGGAACTTTTATTATCTGTTTGAAATAGAGATACATTAGAACAATTTTATTTATGTGACATTAAAGGGTAACTCGTATGACATAAAACTGCAAAATCAGCACTAACAGCTGACCTTTCAGGTTCTTTGAGCTTCTAAAGCTGGCCATACACCTTACAATTATCTGCAGATTGTCTGTGGTCAGAAGGAAAAGGTGCAACCGATTCCAGCATCTACACTTAACTGTGTGTATGAAGAAATCTCCACCTGGGCCAATCTGTTGCACTTTTTCCATCTGACCACAGAAAATCTGCAGATAATTGTAAGGTGTATGTGCACCTTTAAACTGGAAAAATAAAACTGAACATGATTATTGCATCACTGAGACTAATCATGTGATTATAGAAGAAAGACCCTTCCATCAGAACTCCGGAATTAGGGGTGTAGAGCAGGGGTAGTCAACTTCAGCTGTGTGTAAACTACAAATCTTATGATGCATTGCAAGACCCTGACAGCCAAAGGCATGACTCCTAGAGAGTCATGACGGGATTTGAAGTTTCACCACAGCTGTTTTGTCAAGGTTGCCTACACAGGATGTAGACACTTAGCTCTCTGCTTACATTTATACTGTACTTGTTTCTCCTGCAGAGTGTGCTATAGCAAAAGAATTACAATAAAACAACCATGTCGATAAACAATGTGGATAACAAAGAAAGCAGATAGGGAGCTGTAATAAATGATTACACATATATGACCTGCTACTCATTCCTCCTTTGGGGTCAAAGGACAACGCATCTATTGTCATCTGATGTATACATTTCTGGTACACTAAGAAGTAGTCTTGCCTGTGTGTGAAGCAAAAAAGGTTCATATAGGGAAAAAAGAAAGGGAGATAAGGCAGGGGACCCCTTATAGAACAGTAGATATCAATGCAAATGCAATGAATGCAGTAAAAGAAAATAAGCAGTAAGGAATTAATAAACTTCCATCTGATGAGGCTATAGGGATGCAGGCATCCCAACCTGAAATGATTCATTTCAGGGAGGTGCCCTCTCCTCCATTCTTCCCCCATCCGCTTGGGGGTGGGAGAGGGCACCTCTCTGAAATTACGGCAGATGGCAGAAAGCTAATGCTTAGCTTGCTATCTACAGTTTTTTTTCTTTTTGTATTCTGACTGCTACTATATGTTGCTGTCAATCAGCAGAGGAGAACTTAAGGTCCACCTCTGCTGATTGACAGCTGCAGAGGGTGGGTGCAATAGCCAGCCTGCTATTGGCTACTGCAAATTGAAATAGTAAATAGCAATCTAGCTATTCATTTCCATGCTGTCTTTTTTTTTTACTCTGACGGTGGTCGGCGGCCCCGTTGTCAGAATAAAAACAAAAAACATACAGCAGGGAAAGGTTTATTCTGCTAGATGGAGGAGAGTAAACCTTTCCGGAATAAAATGTTTCTCTTCCGGGTGTCCGGGAGCCACTATCTTATATGTCTGGGGAGATGTCTGGGGATGGCCCAAATCAAATCCAGTTCAGAGGAAGTGAGATATGGTAGGGCAGTACAAAGAAACCAAAAACAAAAACCATGTGTCATGGCAGAGGCAGAGGAGCCAAGGTTTTTTTGAGCCAACTGCAACACAACTGAAATGATGACAGCATGGGGCTAAGCAATACGAAACATGGCTTTACATCACCAGAATTTAACTCACACAGCATCTTGAGAAAAAACAATTCACCAATATGCTGCAGTGAGGTTGATTTGATAAGGGAATTGAAAATGTTCACTTAATTCACTTCAATTCTCCAATCATGTGAAATGCAAATTCCTGTTTATTTATTTAATCTCCACACGACTGGTCCATTTTATAGCGAACACAGCTACAATTTATTGATTGAAGTTTCTCAAATCCTTTCGTAAACCAGCTTCATTACGTTGCAACATCATAGTTGTGTCACCAGAAAATAGAGTGATATAGAAACATTTTCAAATATGAAAATTAACTTTGATCAGCTAAGAAATTGAAGGTGGCAGGTGGACCAGTGTGACCCCTACACATTTTATGGACAGAAATGCTGTGTTGATTATAAAATTTAGCATGAATTGGAATGAGATTGAGGAATGAGAAGTGACAGTGTATATTTGTGCAGTACCTTTAAACCTAAAGTACCTATACAGTCAAAACTGTTCTTTTTCATTTTAGATACAGTGGGGACTGTCTGTTATATTCTGCCTTTTAGGGCTTTGATGAACAGATTTCCCCTCACTTTATGTTCTGGTGAAAATGTTTACCAGACAGGAAGTATAGGAAAATCTCCAACAGGTGAACGGACAGCGATAAAAAATTGACAGGGGTTCTAGCAATCCCCTTCTTAAAGTGACACTAAACTCAGGAGTTAAATCTTAAAAGTGCATTCAAGTACCAAAATTATTATCAAAAATGTATCTTATTTGTGTAGCACTCAGCTGTAGATCCTCAAATCATCTCTGAATTTGTGCTGACACTGTCCTTTCTTCTGGAGGGTGGCTACTTTTGTTCCCCATGGTCCCTGTTTGTGTTGTAAAGTAGCTACCTCTCCGAACTCACTCCCGTGATAGAGTACAATCTCACACGCAGTTTACTTAAGGTGGAGGGTGGCTATGTTTGTTCCTCATGGTCCCTGCATGTGTAGTAGAGTAGCCACCACTCCAAGCTTGCTACCGTGACGGACTACAATCTCTATACAAATAAGTAAACTGCGCGTGAGATTGTAGTCTATCACGGGAGTGAGCTTGGAGAGGTAGCTACTTTACAACACAAACAGGGACCATGGGGAACAAAAGTAGCTACCCTCCAGAATAAATGACAGCGTCAGCATCATCACAAATTCACAGATGATTTGAGGATCTACAGCTGAGTGATACACAAATAGGATACATTTTTGTTAATAGTTAAGGTACTTGAATGCATTTTTAAGATTTAACTCCTGATTTTAGTGTCACTTTAAATAATTTAAAAAAAAATACTTTTACATTACTTTATTATCTGTGTTGTTGATGGAGAGTTCCCTCATTCTCTCTGGTGAAAAGCTTGTAACCAAGATAGTGAACAAGGAAAAAACTCTTTAACAGAGTATGGGACAGCAGTAAAACCTTACAGGGGTTCTTTCTCCATGCAATGCAAAACTATGAAAAAATTATTTCACAGGATGACCACTAATAATAATTTGTTAAAGCATTTACATGAGTTTTCATGTGAGTGAACAGGACACAAAGAAAACAAATGTTTTCTATGTGTTCTTGCAAAGACCTGCATTGATCAAGTACAAAAAAACAAGTCTCTGCACATGGTGAGAAAGAACCCTTAGACAACAGAATGACAGGTAACAATGGGCTGACTAATGGCATGATATATGCATATATAATGGCATATTTTATTGCCTTTAAAATATGTTTTTAAGGGATAGCAATTGCCTTGCACCTTTAAGTCATAAAATGTGTTACCATAATACATACGAGTAAAAATTAACATAACCAAGGCAAAGTCAGAGCTGTCATTAAAGTTCTGTCAACCTAAAATATAACTTATTGCACAATATCAGACTAGGGAGAGAACAGGATGAACATGATTCAGCCTTGCTGAATAATTTAAAATTCAACTGATCTTCCATGTTCCTTTCCCCCAGGATCTCATTAGTAACTTGCAGCAATGTGTACAGAACAATTACTTTCCATGCTGCTGGGAACAGCAAAGCAAATTAAGTAAAGGGAAGAGAGCAGAGGAGCCCTTAAAGGAGAACTATGAAGTGAGTGATTTTCACTCAACCTCATAGTTCGAGCCGACGTGTGACAATGAAACTGTCACACGTCGGCTCAATAGATCGGGAAGTGAGCGAACGCATACCGTCGCTCGCTCACTTCTCGTTCATGTCCCTGCAGAGAGCCGTGACTGCCAATCACGGCTCCCTGCAGGGATTCCCCCCTCCCCACTCCGATCCACCAGCACTGACTTCACTACAGGGGGCGGGTACAGCTGACTCTGCCTCTAGATAGGCAAAGCCAGCTGTCAGTCACGCAGCTGGGTGGATCTCGACAGTAATGTCGGGATCCGTCCCGGCTGCGGCGGTCTCAGACGGTCTTGACTGTTATAATAGAGCCCTCCTGTCTGCAATTTTTTTGATTCAGACCACAGTTGTGGTTTAATGAGAGAGCAGCAAATGGCAGACACCTGCTGGTGGTAGATTGATAGACAGGGTAAGGTGTCGCAAACATCAATGTGCTTGAGTGTAGCATAATGTGAATTTGCAAAAAAACAAAACCAAATTCAAGAGCTCTGCTGTAGTATTTTATCAACGCTTTTTTGTACACCAGAGAGATAGCCAGAGAGAGAGAGAGCCAGCTGCAGCTTAGGGAGTTTCAAGGGGCTGCATAATACATCAGGCTATGTACATAGTCTTGTGTGGTTACTTTCATAATCACTTACAGATAAATATTCTCCTACACAATAGAATGCAAGGCCTATATGACCTCTTATTTTACAAACCTGCATTATCCTATTTCATGATTCAGAACGTTATAAGCATGTTATAGTACATAAATAATATAATAAAATGGTTTATAAAAAAACATACATTACCAACTGTAAGAAACCTTTCAAACCAAATTAGAAAATTAGAATTATAATAAAGGTTTTGCCTTCAGCTTATAAAATGACTTTTTACAGTAGGAACGGTTAATTGTGGAATGCCCTACTGCATAAGGTAAAAGTGACAAAATTAATAATAATTCAAAATGGACAGGGAGATTTCACTACAGCTAACAGGGTCCAAAGTTGCAAATAACTAAAAGGGATCTAGAGAACTGGTTTAGCTGCCCCTGGGGATATGTTTTTTTTCCCCACCTGTGTTTCAAAATTGGCCACTGTTGCTTGGGGAGGTGGGTTGTATAGCCTTATAGTACCAAAACTGCAGGGGATGTGTGAATCTGAAGAACTGTAACTATTGTCAAAAGAGTCTTGGGATGAATATAACTATTATTTATAGTGAAAGTGCAGTTATATTTTAAATTATGCTCTTAAATCCCATGTATGAGGTTTTTAAATGTCCCACTGCAGGTGTAAAGAAAAAAAGATAGGTCTCGCTGAACCACTTACCAATTTGGAGCTGTCCACCACAGTACTCTCTTTTCGCCAAAAAATGTTCTCAGCATTCCAGATTTAAATGCACCCAGCGTTATTCAACCCCCAAAAGATCGAAGACAGATTGTGAGTGTAGGTCATCACCACATCATTCTGCAATGTCTGTGTAATGGTGCAGAGAACGGTGCTGCCATCATAACGTCAGCCCCCTTTTCTGCATTATAGAGGACTGCCCACCATGGGTGAACACTGCAGAGGAAGAGTGAAGTGAGGTAAAATGAAAACTGCGGTATCACATAACAGATGTGGGCTTTAACCTTCCCAACTGCAGTTACTGACAAACTGAAGACCAATAATTACTATTTTACTGATGTCATATATGTAAGTTATAATGTATGTTATAATTGAATCTGGGAAGATAAAATATTTACAAGGTGTAAGAATTAAACTGCCATTACATTTCATAAGGGAGAACATACCTGTGGCCAGTAGTCATGGTTCCCAAGTGCAGGAAATACAAGCATGTCGGGTAAGAGTGTACGAATGGTAGTGGTCATGTTTTTAATGACGTCTATCACTATTTTTGTAGACAGCTCATTTACGGGAACATGAGGGGGACTATCTCTGTAGAAAAAAAAATAGAACAAGAAATAAGTTACATATTCAGTTTTTGGCTAGGCATGTGCAAATCGATTCACAATTCAGGTAAAACGGGTGAAATGCAAATTTGTGCAATTTGCCTAAATGTATTGACGTAGACTTGTGAAGTCTGCCAAGAATTTCACAATTTGTCAATCATGATGCTCTAAATTGTGTGATTCTCTGCAGATCAGGAAGATGTGTGTGTAAAAATTCACATGAAAAGTTTTCAAATTTCCCCCTTTGGCTACATGAGGTATACTGTGTTTGAACAAACAATATTTCTTTCTCAGCCTTTAAGGGACACAAACCAATCTGAGTATACTGCCACCAAAGGAGGATTTAGACACTGGCAAACAAAATACAGTGACCTGTCTGGTAATATAGCCCATCACACTCCCACCATGCCTCAGTTTTTTGCTAGTGCCCTATGAAGATGGACAATTTTGTCTTCTGAGAAAAGTTTAACCATTTTTGTTAGCCTTTTTTTTTTTTCCTCCTAGACTTGACATGCAGCGACACTGGAACATTGTCCCCCGCTTGAGTCCCTATTTGTTCATAGTCTTGCTCTTGGCACTACTTTCTTCCAAAATTGAGGCTTTCTGGGCTCAGATCGGGGTTATGCCAAGGTTGGAACCCTATGTTCCTCAATGAACGCCAAGAAAAGGATTTTACAGTGAATAGAGAAATTCTATTTTTAGTAACACAAATAAGTGAGATTGCTGGATACTTTAGAGAAAAATTATTTCAACATACTTTTGGCAGCCTGTAATTAGTTTATGTTTAGAATATCTATGTAGCATAAGATATGAGGAAGCAAATAGTGTTTATGTAGCTCTGATATATGACTGATAATACCTGTTCTCTAAAAATATATTGCTAGCAGTTGCCAATCTGCTAGAGACGAGATCTAGGGTGAAGGTGACACAGCAAGAATCAATTGTGAATATGCTTATTGTTTGGCTTGTTATTTACATGTGAACAGAATTGTCTCTAGACTGTGTCAAGCTTAAAGAATATAAATGCAATGTTCATTGAGGCAGTGGACAGGCATATGGACATTTAGTAGTTTTTCAAATATCCCAAAAGGATAAAAGAGTTTCCTGCTTTGCATATATAATTAGAGCATTGAAAGCAATTATGTCTATAAGGTCATTTAATGTATTAATAAATATTATAATATGAAATAAAGATAATACACAATGTCCCAATTTGGTGGGTTTAGAGGTTTTACAGCCAGCAGATAAGATTTAATTGATTGACTACTTTAAAAAATAAACACTGTTACATGCACTTTAAGCATCTTGTTATTTTATAATGATATAAGGTATACACCTATAATTATGGGTTAACCTTTTTAGGAGCTAATATAGACATATTCTCATTATAATTCACATGAGGGCAGCTCAGGTACCTATAAGTATATTATCGTTGAAATAGGAAAAAGTGTGTATACAATGTATGAGAATATTTCTGTGCACCTTGGTAATGTTTTTAATTCTCCTGAATAGAATCAGATTTGTCTAATATGTAGAAGAACACAAATATGGGTTCCAGATAATCTCATTGTTTGATTATATGTTTCTCTATAGTTTAGACAAGTCTGCATCTGTATATTTATCAATAAAAAAGAAATGATAACCTTATTTAATTTAATAATAATTAAAAAAAAAAACAGATTACCTTATTTGCAGATCTATGCACTTAAAGGAGAGCTATGAGGTGAGTGATTTCCGCTGATCCTCATAGTTAGAGCCGACCTGTGACAAAGAAGCTGTCACTGGTTGGCTCTATTGATTGGGAAATGAGCAATAGCCTGCTATATCTGAGGTCTGGGTCACGGGAGGAGGTTAGTATATGTCCTCCCGTGACCCTCAAGAGAACTATGGGGAAAAACACTTAACCCATAGTTCTCTTTTAACTCTAGTTATGGATGCTAAGGATAGCTTTGGCTAAACCTACTTATGCATACTATAAGGTAATTGAACATGCAGGAACACAAAAGATCCCCATGAAGGAGTGTTTCCTGTACAACAGGTGTTTCCACAAATATTCACATTTGGATTGGCTAAATGTACATATTATGCTTATGGGAGAGGGAGGGCAAAACTGTCAGTTTATTTTGGGGGAGAATAGTAATGCCCCGCCAGGAAAATCCAATGTGGCCAGATTTTTCAGTAATCTCTGTGGACTGCAAAACACCAATTCCAATAAGTTATGGAAACATGTAAAGGGGGAGGTATTTTTTAGAGTCCAAAATGTTTTTTTTCCTAGAGCGGCAACGTTGTTCCTGAATAGGTATAGTATGCTGAGTGAGCATTGTTAACATAGCATAGGAGGTGTGTAACTAGCAGAAAAAAGGAAAAATCGCAAAAGGAAATGTAGATTGCCATTGCTGACATGTTCCGAAACTGCTAGTTACCCTGCCGCCCCAATGATGCTTTGTCTTTAATACTTTGAGTTACTGGTTTTGAACAAATATAGATGCACTATAATTGTGACACTCATTTGCTAAATGCTTGTTCCTGGTGTGTGACTCAGTTTTGAAGTCAGGCACAGCCAGTCAACTAGCATTTGTTTAGAGGAACTCATGGAATAACAGCCCCCGTAGTCTAGTATCATTTAAAATCTGGGTTACAGAGCACAGCTGTAGCCAGGATTTGCCAATATGTGTACTGTACTCAGAAGGAAGCTGTAATTAGGATAGAGTTTGCAATCTAACCACAATAATTTCAGTTGCCTCTTTTATAAAGACTCATTTTACAGAACAATTGGTATTTAGTGTTTAAACAGGGTTGAAATGTACTTCGTTGACAAGAGACAGATTTATTTTCGGCCTTGCATCTGCTATGCCACGTGTAACAAGTCAATATTCACCATTTCACTGCCAGACCAATTTATCTATTTTTCAAATACATGCTATTATGCACATTATAAACTTAAAAATGGCAGCCCAAAACAGAGGACCTGTTAAGTTTTTTTTGTATGGCACAATCGGTGTGCAAATGTTTATGAAATCTATATTTTTACATCTAAACATTTTCTAGTGCACACAAACACAATCCCTGGAATTCGCTTTTTAGAATTCCGTGGTGACAATTGACAAATGTTGATGCTTACCCCAGATTCATGAACCTTTTGGAAACAGCACAAGCATCAGAGGCAGACTGAGGCCAACGTGTCTATACTGAACATTCTGTCCACAATACAGCTCAGTAACATTGAACCTGATCAAATCAGAGGCTTAGCTTTACTGAAATCTCTGACTGACCACTGCAACTGTCACACATGGAGGCACAGCGGCCAACTACTTTTGTTGAGGGTAAGAGGAGCATGATGAGGAACTCTATAAGACTAGTCAGAGGCTTAGCATTACTGAAATCTCTGACTGGCCACTGCAACTGTCACACATGGAGGCACAGCGGCCGACTACTTTTGTTGTGGGTAAGAGGAGCATGATGAGGAAATCTATAAGACTAGTTCCCCATCAAGTCCACCTTCCTTATGAGTGACAGCAAACAGTGGGCAGATTCCATAGCCAATAAAAAGCCTGCTATTGACTATGGAATCCGCCCACTGTTTGCTGTCAATCAGTTGCGGAGTAGACCTGATGGGGAACTATTCTTTCTGCATCGCCATCAAGCTCTGGCCACTGTCAGCATCACTGGTTGTTAAGTGGGCCATATTTGGGTAATGATGTCAGCCAGCATCTCAAACCCATTTGTTTACATTCGGCTGAGGAATCTCCTAGCCAGCAGCTGAATGGGGTAGAATGGGTCATTGGATGCTAGGACGCCGGCAGCCTCGTGTCCTAGAAACCAATTAACCATATACAGGGAGCTGTCACATTCATGACAGCTTTTCAGCACATACATGACTATTCTGAGCACTGGCATCTCTCTGTACACCACATCAGAGTTGGTCTTAACCACTTGACGTCCGCGGTGTTAAACCCCCTTCCCATCCAGGCCATTTTTCAGTATTCAGCACTGCGGTACTTTGACTGACGTTTATTCTGTCATACAACGCTGTACCTAAATTAATTTTATACAATTTTTTGGGGACAGATAGAGCTTTCTTTCGATGGTATTTAATCGCCACTGGGGTTTTATTTTTTAATATATTAAGGAAAAATTATCGAAAACAGTTTCCCCTATAATAAATGATAAAACATTTATTATTACCCAATTTTTTGGTAAAATATAAGAGACAGGTAAGTCCATCTTCACTGCAGCTGTGTACTTTGTCACCCCGGCGTCTCCACTGCTCTCCAGTCCCCCCGTCCAGGACAACACATTGCTCCACCGCTCTACAGCACCTGCCACCAGAGGACACCTGTGCCATCAATCATCCTGAGGACCACCCCACGGCCCACCGCCCAGGCACGACACTGGCCGCACCGTCATCGCTGAGAGCCGTTCTCCATTATCTCCACGGCGAGTTACAGAAATCCACCCCTTCTTCACCCACCATTGTATACTTCACCTCCTCGCTTTTGTGTCTTCATCTGCCTTATTGGTTTCAACCACCACACCACCCCGCAAAAGAGGGACCGTTCCCACTACTGCTTCACTCCATCCGCTTCACCTCAACCCGACGGTTACAAGCGAATGCTCACCCAGCCATAGGTGAGTACATCACTTACGCTCACACCCTGCTCTACCACATTTATTGCGCCAGGTAGTGGCGCTTCCGTCTCCAATTTTTTGTTTCCCTACAGTAACAATGTTTGTACATGTTCCTGACACAGCTCAGAAGGAGGATGCACCCAGGACAGACCTGGGAGTCTGCAGTGTTTAAACTATCACTTACATTTTGCTTTGTTTCGCAAAGATTGGAATTGCTAGGGGGGCGTGGCCTGGACATGGCGCCGAGCAGAAGCTAATCGCCAGAGCTCTGCAGACCCGGGAGAGATTGGAATTGCTAAACATTTGTAAACAATCTGAAGGACCGTTCACCCTCCAAATATATGTGAAGAGTCACTATGTGAGAATATAGGCAAATTTTTTCTTTACAAGTGGAATTAATTTTCGATTGTTTTCTTGTAAGATCGCATTATGGCCACTACACGGAGCTAAATGAGCATAGGAAATAGGGAATTATTTTATATGATTCTCAGCACCATCTAGTGGCCATAATTTAATATTACATAAGAAGTTGGAAAATAAATTCCCTGGTAAAGAAACAACTAAAGAACATTTGCTTTGGCATATATCCACACATAATGAACGTTCAAAGCAGCTCTGTGAATAATCTATACATAATTTATACATAGAGCACTCAGTGCTTAGAGAGGGTTGAAATGTGTTCTGATAGTGCTCAGACTATTTGTTTTCTGTTTGTTACACCATTTGCTTTAAGCTATAAGTGTTAAGCTGTTAAGTTGTAAAAACCTTACAATAAATCACAGACAGAGAACTGGACTTTGCCTTTTTTGCTGACAACAGTGTATCTTATGTGCATTAAACATGGTACTTCAGCTTTCTATTTGATGCTAACCTCCTACAATATAAAATATTCACATGCAAGCTTTTACTTTTTATTAAACGGGAAATAAAAATTAATGCTATTCAGTTTTTCCTTATTTTGAATATAATAAAGAAAGAATAGATGGATAAAACACTGTAGATCCCCTTATTATCTTTCAAATTCTATAATAAATAACATCTGGAATTGAATCATTCACTACGGCTAATAATGCTTCTCTTTGCTAACGTTTTAATTAAACCATATAAAAGTTATAGATACATTACCCAGTCCATATCATAAAGTCGACTTTTTGCTCTGAATCTTTTATGTACTGAATTGCTGATAAAATAAGCCCATATGGGGAATCACATAGAAAGTCTCCAAAGATTCCAGGGTGTGAGGCATTGGCACCCTTAGAGGACAAACACACTTTAGTGTGATCATCAGTGAGGTGATAGGAGAAATCCAGGTGTAGGTCTGAAATATGCCAAAACTGTCCTAGATGTAAAAGAAAAGAGGAAAATGTTAAAACGATTTGACTTCATCAGGCTAAGAAAAGTTTATCATTATCTCTGATGGGTTTATCCAATCTAAATTCATATAATTTTTTTTGATCTGTATAGCGTGTAATGAACAGATGAACTCGGCAAAAGTAACACTTGTATCCACCATCTCTATCTGTTTACAATATCTATAGTAAATTAATGGTTCACTGCAGTTGTGGACAAAACTCAATGCCCTCCTAATCCAGTGTGATCCAGGTGGTCAATCATTAGGTGCTGACCACTACTAAACCACGGACCCAGGAATGGAGATTGCTTTCCTCCTAATTCTCTTTAAAATCTCTCGATTCCAGGATCCCAACTATAATCCGGAAAACCTGAAAGAAACTGAAAATGCAAGCTTCTTCCCTGCAAAACTATTCACATTCTGGAACCTCTCAGCCCCTCTGGCTGAGAGTCCTGGGTGACCGTGTTGCCAAATCACACCATGGCATTGTCACGCACTGCCACACCAGGTTAAGAGTTACCCCTGTACACACTGTTACAAACAGTCCCACTTGATCCAGGGCAGCATCTTGAATGGGGTTTACCTGCCATCTAGACTACGTAGGTTTATTTGATAAAACTGGTGGTAGCATTAAGGCTGAGTAGTAGAATGTAGGGGGTTACTTCCAGTCTATACCCTTCTTTACTTGGGGCTAATTAAAGACTTGTCTGGTATAAGTCGGTAGTAGTGTAAGGAGAGACTGCATGCAGTCTATGCTGAAACAGGCTGTGATTGTAAACATAACCACAAAGTGTCTTTAATAGCCAGAAACACTTCTATGATTCATACATCAGTGAGAAATAATCCCTTAAACACACTCTGGTGTGACAAGTGCCTTTCTGCAAACTCCATTTGAAGCCGAACTCTTACAAGACATCCCTAAACACATTGAAGTATGGATAGATATGTTGTTCCACTAAAGAAAGAAGACCAAGAAAATTTCAAATAGTTTGCCCAAGCTAGTAAATTTGTTAGCAGGTTATGTCTAACTGGTGGCCATACAAAGCCTATATATATACAGTGAAAAACAATATTGTGCCGAGCTAATAATCATACATATCTAATACATTGAAACATATATAAATGAGTCACATATATGAGCCTTCAAACAAATGAGGCATAAGAAATATCTACACAAATACAAAAAAGCAATATAGGCAAAAAGGCGTTGTTTTTTTCCTTGGGACTTTTTTGCCTATATTGCTTTTTTGTATTTGTGTAGATATTTCTTATGCCTCATTTGTTTGAAGGCTCATATATGTGACTCATTTATATATGTTTCAATTTATTAGATATGTATGATTAACAAACGCCCATAGGCGACGATTAAAACGCTTTTAAAACGCTTTCAGTGATTAATGGCCCTAGAATTATTGCTCTCACTCCGACGTTTGTGGCGATATATAACATGTGCGGCACAAACAGACCTTAGGCATCCCGGATCTCTTCAACTGTCCCTCACCCCTTCCAGCAGGGGTGCAGTAATGAAGCAGGGAGCCTGGTTATGGTCATTTGACCACCCACCCAGCTTTCTAATTGGATGGGAAGCTACAGCCACACTCCATTGCAGCTTCCCAGGCACCGAGGACTGTTATGTGGGGAATCTAAATGGCAAGTGCTGCTGTGCTCTGTATCACTGAACCAGTCAAACAGAGGGATCTTTGTGATCTCTCCATCATCTCAGTGACTAAAAAAATAAATTGATTTATTGTGACTATCAGTGACTAAAAAAAAATAATTGATGAGACAAATCCTTTTCAGAAAAGGAAATGAAACATTGTAAGACTGTCAGACACTGCAGACATTTAACAGGGCATAATCACACAGTGAGAACATGATGCTGGGGTGCTAAGAGACAAGGGCATGCCACAGGAGAGAGCCAAATACTGGATACACAGTACTTGGAGCTGATAAAGAACACTGCCATTACAAGCACCTTTACAAGTCAAGGCTCTCGATGCTAACTGTTGGAGCCTGAGGGCCACACAACAAATACCAAAGGCAGGCATGCAGCCCTGAGGTCACGAGGGGTCTAGGTGATAACCTAGGTATATACCTAGGGGGAATTGTGATTGCTGTCTATCAATGGTCGTCCGGGAGGGGGGGTTCTGTCAGTGAATGGTCGTACTGAGTGGATGCAGCGTCTCTTTCCGGCGTCCATCCTACCTCACTGATGTCTGATATCACTGGTTGTCAGGAGTTGGGTGGGATGACAGCCAGAGCTTCCCGCTCAGCTCCTGGCAACCAGTGACCTCAGTTAGTTGGCCTCAAAGCCAGACAGAGCGTCACAGGCAGTGGCGGAACTACCGCCGGTGCGAGCGCACCGGGGCCTCAACCTGGGGGGGGGGCAGCCAGGGCCGCCGTCTGGGGGGTACGGCTGATCCTGACGCAAG